GTTCTTCAAAGGTTTCTTGAGAGCCGGCTGGTTGAGCATATAGTGGATCAAGTTCCCACTCCGGATCAGGATCTGGCTCTGCCACTGACGGTGGCACATGTTGTTGTGGGTCATCAAGATCTTGATCTTCAGGAACTGGTGGAAGTTGACCTGGGTCCATTGGTACATCAAGTTCTCCATCAGGATGTTCGAGAGGTTCATTATGACCTGGTGGTTCGCTTTGACCATGAGGTTCAGTCGGGCCTGGAGGTTCTGATGCATCTCCTTGATTGAGAGGTGCTTGATGGTGTTCATTTTGAAGTGGTTCCAAGTCAATGTTTACCTCAGGAGCCAAGAGTTCTTCAGCTTCTGCGTGGTCAGGGTCCATGTCGTCTAGACTTTGGCGATTGGTTCTTTCGAGATCGATGATGCGGACGACACGTCGCCGAGGTGAGGCTGAGGGTTGCAACAAAATCACATCTGCAACTGCCAAGCGACCAACCCCGACACTGCTCCATCAGGACACATTTGCGGATCGGCTCACGCGGCCTGTCCAACTTGTCATCCAACCATGTTTGGATGTGGTGGCAAAAGTCTCGTGGACTTGCGGCCGTGCGTGCATGTCTGGCGATGAACGCTGCAAGTCTCCCAAAAAGCTGGTCGATGCCTTCATAATTGTGCCCGGTGCGGAGGTTCCGCAACGGGGCACAGTCAACAACTCCTCAGACTACAGCTAATGAATGCAGCTTTAATGAGAAAGCAAACCTCAGACACGTGACCGTGACAGTGGGGTTTGCACTCTATAGACCTCCCTGGTTGAGTGGTCCATCAAATATTCAAAAGTGTTACAGCAAAAGGTGGCATGGGTCTGTTGCTCACCAATGTCCCCAACCATCTGATGAAATGGTTATTCTTTACCTCTCGGGAGGTATTGTCGGACTGCGCATGCAAATAGCAGCGGCGCAAGTCCATCTATAAAGCAACGGTCTGCAAGCAAAATGCTACCAGGTCGATAGAGGAATTCGCGTCCTTTCGGACATCCGCAGGGCTCACACAAAACACCACGGCTCGACTGTGGATGATTGCTGCTGCAATGTGCGCTTTTGGCCTTGCTAGACCTTGAAGATCCTTTGAACGAAAAAGATCCGATCGCGGATACTGAAACTTCGCTTGATCCATACCGTCTATGATGATCAATAGATCCAGCCCACTCTTCAGTCGACTCTGGGCCCGCAAGTCCCAGTAGACCAAACGGTCGTTGTACTGGCTGCGAAGATGATCTCCGTAAAGTTCAACTTGCTTTTGTCTGGCTTTGAGATGGCCTGACATTGATTTGATGAGGCATTTATGCCTGACACACGTCCCACACATCGTGTGTGAAGACGTTGCTCGGAACTGCAAGATGGTCCCAAAATCCTGATACCACGTTCTCCAGAACGTTGAAAACGACACTGGCTTCTGCTGGGATGTTGAACTGTGGCCATCAGCAATGAGGAACTGCTCATAATACTCGCGAATATGGCCGGGGGGAAGCCATCTCTTTTCCAACCCGGTGTCAGGACGACGGGATGTATTCATGACAATCCCAAGCTTCTTCGCCCGAACTCCCTTGGCCTGTGGTTTCAACTTCAATCGCATCGTCGGGTCGTGAATGGCATCTGTGTATGGGTCTGGGTCTGCTAGGGGCAGCGAGACTGTCATGTAGCTTGCGTGTGGATCTACCTCATCTTGGGGACTGTCACGGACATCTGGCAATGTCTCCGCAACACTCTCGTATATAGTTCTAAGAAATGTAACGACTCGACCACGGCTGCTGTCACCACCACTATCACCCTTAGTTGGCACGCCTCGTCGGAGGTATCGCAGATCCACCGGAGGGGCCACGGCACCTTGCCGGGCAGCCTCCATAAGGCGGCCGAATCTTCTGGATCCTCATGGCAAAACTGACCGTTTGAGACCACAAGACTTTTGGCTAAACAATGGAAGCCCAGCACCGCCTAGCGTAAAGAAAACATTCTTCAACGCAGGCAACAAGCGACCCAAGCCGTGCAGCTTCTTCCATGCAACAACACATACAGGCCGGTCCAGAAATTTCCATCGGGCCTTGGAAGGAATATTCCCATCATCACCAGAGTAGCCAATGGCTTGCCTGAGGCGATGCAAAGCCTCAGAGTTGCCACGCAAGAAACACGAAAACACTCCAACGGACGGTCGCAGTCAGTGCAAGACCTTCGAACGTTGCCGTATCAAAGAAAAGCTGTGGACCATGTGACACAACACCTCTCAAAATTATTGGTCAGACCCAAAAGTCTACATTGTCTTGATCAAGCTTGTGCATGGCAGACCATTCTTGTCGAAACGAAAGCAACTCTGAAAAGCTAGCATCCTCCGTGAACTGCCGTAAGCAGCCTTGTTTGCAGCCACATTTCGGCCTCCCCAACATTTTCCGTACATTGCCTTCATCTGACACGCTCTGGTCAAGAGGCACACGCTTACGCTTGTTCCGGTTCCTGGCTTTTGGTTTCGGACTGTCCACAGGCGAATCATCGCTCAAGGTACAGACTGCTCCAAAAGTATTGCTGCACATGGCAATTGGAAGGCTCCAGCGTCTACAATTGACACTGACTGATGCATACCTTTTACATGTTGCAACTCGCATGACAGGAACACTGTTTAGAATGATGGGAGTGACTCCTGGTCTAAGCCGCCCCCATTGAGATAAGAAGATGGGATTTTGCCCCCAACAAAAAAACGAACAAGCCAAATCCTGCGGCGTAACATTGCACCATCTGCCAGTGAGTGTCACCTGTAGAAGGAAACCGCCCCCAGCTTGCCAACAATCATTTTTCACCGCCCTCTAGGTCTAGGTCTATTTGCGAACTTTGCGTTTCTTGAGAACTTTGCCAGGCCCTTTTGCGCAGTCGGTCAAGGAAACCCAAATTACAGCACCTTTTTTGTGCTGGTAGGGTCGCGGGGATTCATACAGGTGTGGTTCTGTCAGGACCCAGGCAAATAGAGAGGCATAGTTGATGATGGAGAGGTCTGACACACAATGGTACTTCACGAACTTTCCAAGGGGTAGTGGCAGACAAGACTTGTACGACCCGTCTGGTTGCTTCTCAGCAATCTTGACGCTGTCAACAATCGTAACTTCTCCCACCAATTTTGAAGAGCCGGACTGCGCAATCGCGATCCTCTCTCTTTTGCTGGTGGAAACACCCCGCAGTTCCCAGGTCTTCTCGCCTTCACAAATTAGCCTCGCCCATCTTTCATGGCACACCAAAGCGTGAGTGGGCTTCATGATGCAAAGGTGAAAAAAACAGCCAAAATGTTGCTGCAATTGTAGAAACTCATCCCCGCCCACGTGCCACATCCCAAGCCCACTCCTCTCCAGTCCTCAAGCCTGGTAGGCTCGCAATGGGCCAACCTCTTGCAATGGCCTTGGATTGTTCAACATCGGTTTCAATCACAGACCAAACTTGTTAAGTGAACCAAGCCCCCAGCGGAGCTGCTGAGTGTCGGGAGCCCAGTGCGCTTCGAAACAGCAATGCTTCAGCAAAAACCCTTCAACAACACAACAAGGACTATGACTATTCAACTTTCCAAGCCGTTCTATATACATACATATATAAACAGAATGAAGGTCTGAAGCACCAGCTGAAGCTAACTAACCTTCGCCGGAAGTGAATCCGAATTGTCTTCTAATTTGTGCAGCAGTGGCGCAACAACCATCAAGAAAAGGTTCCAGAAACACAAATCTAAAAGCCTATATATAATATGTACATTGTACAGCAAATGACTCTTTGCAACCACCATGACTAGCTCTGCTTTCAACAAAGCAAAGGCTGAACACTTGAAAGTACTCTGCCAGCTTGCCTGGCTTGAAGTGGGACAACAATATTGCCCATGCACCCCAAGCGAAGCTTGTCCTGTGGAGTTTGGGAATCCAAGAGCCACTCGTGAAGAGGGACCTTGTTCATCGGATTCCACGATTTTGTTACGTCAACCTCCGCCACTCTGAAGATGTCCTGCCAAACAAAGACTAGCAAGCACGTGTTTACAAGACTGTAGAAGCGGGTCCGGAAAGCAAAAGTTTTCTCGGGCACATAGCGCGAACACGCGCTTCCGTCCAACCTTGGCGACACTATTATGCAACTGCAGTGCAGTGGGTGGATAGAAAGAAGAACTCAGGTACAAACGGCCAGCCCTACGTTCTTCAGAGTGATGGTGCACCATGTGACTCTCAGGTCCCTCTTGTGGCTTTCCTGCACTCCGGACTTGCGAAAACTCATAATGTTTTGACAAACCATACATTAGGAGAGATTTATCCAATTGGGCGCGAGGTCCTTCACTATGAAAGCGAACAGATTTCGAGTGCTTGTCTGGCAGGAGAGGAGGGCGCCAACGTTCTCCAAAAGAATGCCCTGCCTTGTGTCCAATGATGCTTTTGACTCAAACACAAGGCTGGCAACTCTGGTCGAGAATGCTTTTTTACACAGTGCAAAAGGATAGCTGACACACTGAGCCCAAAACCCATCCGGAAGTTGATCGAAAACCCTGAAAGGCTCCTTGACCAAACATGACCTGCCATCGGCCATGCCCTTTTGCAGGCCTGCTGCGGATACTCCCTGCCACAATCATTGCAATTTAAAACATGCGGTTGGAAACTTGCATCAAAACAAACAAAGAACCTGTTCAGAGCAGAGAGGGGAACGATTCGGTGCCTGGCATGGAAAACCTGCCATCACCAGCTGCGCTGCGAGATCGTCCCCGGCTGGCCGGTAAGTGATGACGTCTGAGGAAATCGGGCACTGTGGAAGGCACCCGTCTCTCTGTCGAGCACGAAGGATCTTCACCCAGAACTCATCACATTCTACCTTACGGTGTGCAAACCTGTGTGACCACTCCATCAAGTGTTTGGTTGAGAAATGGTCGGATCTAGGGATGCAGCCATGTGCAACGTTTTGACAAGCCTGGCCCAAGCGACACGCTGCAAACTCCAAAAAAATACGTTTAGTCTCAGTGTCAGCTTCCACTTTTCACTCTCAGCGGGTCTTCTTGCAAGGCCGCTCCAGTTCTGCACCATCTACAGCCTTGCCAGCAATTTGTGGATTGAAGGTCTGGGTCACTTGTGTTTAAGAAGCTGCCTCTTTCATGTGGTTGGTATCCGAAGGCCGCTTCAACACATTCTCCAGCTTATCGATGGAGCACTCAACCCAAGCGTTTCGCTCCCAGAGCCACCTTGTGAAGTGTGGTGAGGAATCAAAAGTTTATAGCTAAATTGAGGCCCCGACACTCCGCTTCGCCATTTGCACCAGACTTGAGCTCCACGTTCCACCCTCCAAGCGGCACACTAGCGCCCAATAGTTTACACACTATGAGCAATCGCATCAATCCAAATTAAAATGAAATGAAGTACACGACCCGGTCAGGCCCAGCCTTATTTGGTTCACACCAACCGTCCGTACTGTTTGCCAGTGGTCCATCAGCCAAACAAAAACATGTGAGGCAGAAATGCTTGGACGGACTGTGGTTTAGCGCTGGTGAGCAAAACAGCAACCAACACAACAAGATGCAGCGACAAAAGGCTGAAGCGGCGGGCACGGCCATGATCGAAACATGCCAGACCAGCCCACGCAGCCCCAATTCCAGGCCGCCCACCCCCGTAAAAAGAGAAATTCCTGCCAGATTCGGGGAAGTCGACAAAGCCTGCCGGCGCAACAGTTTGATGAGCTATCAAAATACTGTGTGAGGCCTGCTCTTGCAGCAACAGCTGATCCAACACGCGTGGATCCACTGTGGCGCTGGCGTCCGTCCAACCCAGCGGCAAACCTGGGCCCACTCCACTTGGTTTCTAAAAAAGCTATGCTGCTGTGTGAAAATGAAATTGCATGGTTCAATGCGTGTAGGCTGCAGGCCACTCATCCACTCTGCAGTGGACGGGTTCAGAAAAGAACCTGGTGCAATCCCTTTGGCGCGGATCTGCTCCATGTACTTGTCCCAATGCAATACCTGATTGGCTAAGTCCTTAGGGCCAAGCGACTGGCTTTCATGGGTTTACTGTAGATACCGAACGCTTTCAAGGCTTGAGGCAAGAGCTGAAATACCTCTGGTTGATACTTCGCTTTTGGTGCATCGTGAAGTAGCACCGAAGACTCCTTACAACTTGCCACTTGGAAAACGAACTGAACAACACAAAACAACATACATTTGGAAGCTTGTGAACACAAAGCGCCCATGAAAACAACATAACATAACCGTGGTTAAGGAAGTGTGTGCAAGCGTTGGAACTGAGTTCTGAACTCAGGCAACTCCAAGAGCGGAAGTATTTGGTCCCTGTGAAAATCTGCGCTCCGTTGTCCTTGACGCCTGTGCGGCGTGCGCGACTGACCTCAGGGTTCTCATCTTTGAAGGAAGCTTCCGGAAAATTGTACCTCAGGACCCCAACCATCTTGAGTTTCAGAGGCGGTGCCTTTGTCAGAGGCACCACTATGTGGTGAATCTTGGCGCCACAGATGCTGCCATGCACAGGCATTGGAACCTGCAAGCGTTTTGACAAGTAACCTCAAACAAAAGAAAATGCAACCATGCCCAAAAGTCTGACACCAGGTTCAGGCCTTTGAGTACTGCTTCCACACCAATTTCTTGACCTTCATGACGCGGACATGAGAAGCCCTTGCCTGCCAACGCGCTGGGCAACATCAACTGATTTGCGCTGCACTGAAAAGGACACCTTTTTCTGCTGATCAATCCAACCCAATTATCCACCAGAGCCTGCGGCCGGCGAGGAAGTTGTCGGGTTTGCTTGGTGTTCCTGCCGCGCACGATGGCCTGGCACGGATGTGACTTGGCAGCTGGGCGTGTGAAAGTGAGGGGGGCGCCTTCATGGGCGTAGAAACGCGTTTTTGCTGCACGAGCTCTGGGGGGTCAACGTCGGAGTCTGACCTCAAGAACATCTCACATAGCAGCAGGTCGTCTTGAATTAACGGACCTTGATTGAAAGCTAAGACAAAGGCAAAGCATTGACGGCCACGAACTCCATCATCATACAAACTTCGTTGGTAACCCTTGAGCCCGTGAGCCACCCGCCTAAAGCACCAAAAAAAAGAACCAGAAACGTGGTAATCCATCAAGCTGTGAACGAACGCCTGTCAGTGCGATGATCAAGTCGTTTCAACATCTTTCATTCTGAAAAAACTGACATAGACATGGATTCACTCCAAAATCTTTACCCAAGCTGTGAACTGAATCTGGAACCCTTCCGCCACATTCATGTTGGAACATGAATGACGCTGGGCCGAATGTGAAGTAGTAGGCGCCCTGGGAAACACGCGTTTGGCTGGATTGCAGTTTGTTTCCAAAAAATGCGAAATATAATAAGAGTGTGTACTACAGTATGTGCAACACATTGCTGTTTGTGATTCAAAGCATGCAACAAAGTAGGCACGTGTGAGTGCAAAGTTCTGGTGTGGTGTGTGTGTGTGCAAAAAAGTTTTGTACAGCTCAGCATCCTTGACATGCCTGCGCCAACTTTTTCTAGCTTTTTTTGTCAATCAGCAGTGTCCAAATCCAGGAGTCAATGCTATATCTAGCAGTGGCAACCATGTCAACCCACCAGACTGAGTGGCTAACCTCAGCAACCATGTCAGCAACCCACCAGACTGAGTGGCTAACCTCAGCAACAGATGCAACAACCCACCAGACTTGCTATCCCAGCAACCATGTCAGCAACCCACCAGACAGAGAGCCTGAGCAACCATGCGAGTGACCCTCAGAGTTGCCAACCCCAATCATTTCAACAACCCCAATGCAAAGATAACTCCTTAAGAGGGACTGCTCAACTGCGCCCAAGGTCAGGACCGACCCGATCTGGGTCTGCACCATTTGCTCTTGTTCACGTGTCAGACCTGCTCGTTTGAGCAGCATCCATCCTGTAACCTCTTCGGGGAGGTCGACCTTGTGCTTGGTCACCTGGCGCAGCACCTGGTGGAACTCGGTGGTGTACTCGAGGAGGGTCTGGTGCTGTCGGCGCTTGAGCTTGAAGAAGAATGCCTCGACGTTGTTCGGCGTCTCGACCTTGTCGTTGTAGGACCATTGGCGGTCCAGGCGCTTCAACAAAATGTTGAGGCCTTCATCGGACTCCAGCTCCTTCAAATCCAGGTCTTCGCGTTGAGTCCAGCTGGAGCCTTCCAAGGTCGACAGCACGTTCAGTGCCACTTCGGTCTTTCGACCTTGGATTTCCAACTTCCGGGCGTAGAGAAGGACCCGGCGCCGCCATTCCTTGTAGGAGGTCGTGGTGTT